GATTGAACCAGAGACCTTGGTGTATTGGGTTAATGCTCTAACCAACTGAGTTACCCGGCCAAAGCCAGTTCCTGTATTATTAAAAAATATATTTTTATTGATTTTTAGAGGGAGAGGAAAAGAGAGAGAAACATCAATGTGAGAGAGAAACAATGATCTGCTGCCTCCTGCACGCCCCCTAATGGGGATCAAGCCTGAAACCTGGGCATGTGCCCTGACTGGGAATTAAATCTGCGATCTCTTGGTGCATGGAACGAAGCTGAACCAATTGAGCCACGTGGATCAGGGCCCTGTATTATTTTTGAAGCAAATCTCAGACATCCTAACATTTCACCCACAAATATTTCAGTATGTATTACTAAAAGATAAAGACCCTTTAAAAAATATAACTCCAACCTAAACGATTAAAAAAATTCCTTATATCAAATATCCAGTCAGTAGTCACAATTTCAACTATTTCAGAAATGTAATAATTCTTTTTAAGTTTTCTGTTTGAATCTGCAGCCAAGTAATATTTACACATTGTTATTATTTGTTGTCATTTACATATCTTTATATCTATAGTTTCTTTCAATTTTCTTTACTTTTCCTTGCAATTAATTTGTTGAAGAAATTGTATTGCTTAAGAAAGTATCCTACAGTCTCGATTTTGGTAATATCTCTGCATGGTATTTAATATGTTCCACTAGATTTCTTTGCAAATTAGTAGTTGAATTTAGAGACTTGATCAGATTCAGGTTTAATTTTTTGACAAGACCACTTATGTGGTGCTGTGTTCTTCTATCAGGAGACTTATAGTATCTGGATGTCTCCTCTTGTGATAGAAGCAGTCATTTATGTTCATTGTTTAGATCCATGTGACTCAATATGGTAACTAAGAGTCACATGTTGCTAGATAAATTAAATAAAACAATGATTATAATGACTGCTAGTATCACAAAAAGAAACATCCAGATGCTGTAAGTCTCCTGATAGAACAAAGCACCACTTAAGTGGTCTTTTCAAATTAAATAAAATTAAAAATTCAGTTGCTCAGTTGCACTAGCCACATGTCAAATCCTCAATAACTTCATGTTGCTCATGGCTCCTGTGTTAGGGCAGATATAGAACATTTCCATCGGCACAGAAAGTTCTATTGGACCATACTGGTCTAGATCTATTAATTCATTAAGGGTTGGGATATGGTGCTATTCTAGTTCTAACATTGATTTTACATTTACTAGCTGGAAAACTTCTATAAAGGGATATTTCCCCATATCCACTATTTGGTTACCAGTGATACAATTCATGTTGGAAAGTCAGGATGGAGCTTAATTCTTTCCTTTAATGAGATTGATTCTATAAGTTATAAACTGACAAACCATGCTAACATCAATACAATTATATAATTATTGTTCACTGCAGAGTCAACTAATGAATTATGGCTATACCTCCCCCTCCCCCCCAGGTTCTAAATTTCCTTCCCTTTCATTGCACTATAGTCTCAATTATTATAGTCTCAATTTTACATTATTATAGTCTCAATTTTTTTCTCCCTGTTCTAGATCACATTTATTCTATTATGATTCTTTTTACCCCTTGAGGCATATTCCTTGAATTCTTCTTACTGTTAGAACTTCTCTTTTCATTTCCCTGAATCTTATATCTTCCTTTTTTCTTAGCTTATTTCATTGGTTTGCTAACTATGTCCTTCTAAAATCACTTCCTATAAAGAGATTGTGGAAGGCAAAGTTTTTGAGCCATTCCATTTCTGAAAGTGTTTTTATTCTATATTCACTAACTTGATAGTTTGGTTGGACAGAGAATTCCAATTTTAAATCCGGACTCTTATGAAGAAAGTTAAGAGCAAGCCTCATTATTATTACTCCTTGTTAATTTCAACATCATTCCTTATCTTTCAGTGGACAGGGATTTCCTCCTCTGCCTTTGGGTAAGGGAAAAAAGATTCTCAGGGAATATTCTGGTGTTTTGTGCAGGATTTTATCTAAATAGTTCTATAATAGAGATGAATGTAAGCAGACATTAATTTCATACATAATGTTTCTGAAATGTTACAAAATCTGAATTTAATTAAAAATTAAGATGTGGTGTATGTTCTAAATCAGTAACAGATGTTTCTCTCAGTGTTTCTTCCAAAGCCAGCTGCACTGGTCTGAGAATAAGGCAGTAGAAGTTAAGAGTGGTTCCTCTATTACCCGCAGCGACCCACTAAATATTTTGCTTCCCTTTCCTGCAACATCGGGCTCCACTGGTGTAGAGGTTTCAGCTCTCAAGAGAGGAATTCTTCCACTGGAGACGGTTCAGTTAAACTGGCAGTTGAAGTTGCTACTTGGCTACTTGCGCTCCGTGCATGCCAGTGAATCAACAGCCAAAGAAGGGGTTACTCTGTTGTCTGGATGATTGAATGATCCTGATTGTCAAGGAGTTGCCACTATACAGAGGATGTAAGGAGTATTTCTGGAATGCAGAAGATATACTGGGACACCTCTTACTCTTCCCAGGTCCTGTGATTCAAATAAATAGAAAACAATACCAGGAGGACTGCTAATGGCTCAGACCCTTCAGAAATAAAGATTTGGATCACCCCGCTGTGTGAAGACTGGCTTAGGTGCTTACTGAGAGCACAGAAATAGGTAGAGGGAGAAGGTCATTATAAATACCATCTACTACCATGCCACCAGTAGCAGAAATAAGAACTGTAATAGTTATTTGTATTTCCTTCTTGTTTTGGTATAAGTATATTTGTTTATATATTAACCAATGTTTTCCCTTCTCCCACTCATTCCTCTACCCTCTAACATGAGTTAATAGTAGTTAACCTTATACCTTAGTACTGAAGTTACAGGATATGAAAGGAAAATTCAGCTAGAAGAGCTAGAAGAGACACGAACAACATCCAAAGATGTTTAAAGGGAATTTGTATCCTCTTGGAGAGAGGGTTATGTTGTTTTTGGTTGTATGAGGGATGATTGCATCATGTTAAGTGAAAGCATTATTTTTCCATTGTCTTTTTTTGAAGTTAAGGATGGCTTAAAGGGGAATATAGAGATGCCAAGTTGATGAGGCATAGACTTTGGTAGCTTTGTACTATGCTGACTTCTCTAAGATGGAGCTAAATTTGTCAGAATTTCTCTCTCTACGTGGTTCTGAATTGGTGTTGTCTGCAAGAGATATTTATGTGAATTTGCAAGCGAGCAGGATAGCAGAGCTATATTTTTTACTCTCTGAAGGTCGGTGCAATGTGTGAGGCAGATTGGCCTTTTGCCCATATTGCTATTGATCTGCTAGTTGATTTGGTGGATGTGGGGGGGCAATGGGGCCTGTAGCTCTTCTAGTTCTCAGAGGATCTCCTCCTTGAGCTTTCTGAATTTTGGGCCCAGCACTGGGTGAAAGATAGCAGTTTCTTCTGCAGGTTACTGTGACATCAAAGCTGGAGGTAGAGACATGGGTTCCAATTCTCCGTCATGTTTTCTTGCTCTCCTTCACATTCAGCTTTTCCCCCTGGCTGACTTAGGGTGACTTTAGGCTCAACACTAGATGCAGGGGCAATGGCTGCTCCACAGCTCCCATAACTGCATAGGTCTCACAGTAGTTCTGCTTTTCTCACCCAACCACACTCTAAAGACAGGTCAGAAGGGACATGGGAGCAGAGTGGGGTTCTTATGCCAAAGGTGTTCATGGGAGGCAGATACATATGTTTTTTGGTATCAGAATTTATGAATTTCATTACAAGATGCTCCCTTAAAGACTACTTACCAAGACAATACCATTTTTGTTGTTTCCTTCTTAAAGACAAAATAATATATATACAGAAAATTGGCTGATATAGATAATCACCAGGATACTGATGACATTTTGGTGACTATCCTTCATGCCTTTCTTCAATGCATATGTTAATAATATGTATGTACACATAAACATAGTTTAGTTTTATAAAAATGGAATCATATATAAATTCTGTTTTATAAAACAGACTTTCCCATCAGTTTATCATAAATATTTATTTCTAAATAATGAAAGTCTCCAATTCAAGAACATACTTTTACATTACTTTATAATATTACATAATTGTTTAACCCAATCTTTTATTGTTACTCTCAGACTATTTTCAGCTTTTCTTAATTAATTTGTAATCCCTTAAAAAATCTTTTACTTTTTAAAATAATTTTCTATTTTTCAATTACAGTTGACATACTATATTATATTAGTTTTGGGTGTACAGCATAGTGATTAGATATTCATATAACTTACAAAGTGATCACCCCTATAAGTAGTACCCATCTGACACCATACATAGTTATTACTATATTATAATATTCCCTATACTGTACTTTACATCCTTGTAACTACTCTTTAGTTACACATTTGTACTTTTTAATCCCTTCCCCCTTTTCACCCATCTTCTCAACTCTCCTCCCATCTGGCAACCATCAGTAGTTCTCTGTTACTTATTAGTTTGTTTCTGTTTTGCCTGTTCATTTATTCTGTTTTTTAGACTCCACATATAAGTGAAATCATATGGCATTTGTCTTCCTCTGTATGAGTTATTTCACTTAACGTAGTACCTTTAGGTCTGTCCATGTTGTTGCAAATGGCAAGATTACACTCTTTTTTATGGCCGAGGAATGTTCCATTGTATATATGTACCACATCTTTTTAAAAAAAAATCTTTATTGATTTCAGAGAGGAAGGGAGAAAAA